ATCCCTGGGTGAGCTGGGGACACTCGGCCTTCTGATGGCCCGTTCGGTTGCAGTGAAAGCAAACTGAAAATCCCTTGGGGTAGTCCCTCGCCATGTTCCCCTCTTTGCCACATTCATAGCAAATCCCCACTCGGCAAGACCCCCCGTGGATCTTGTCGTACTTGCTACAAGTACGGCCCTTCTGGCCTCTAACTCTCGAATCAGTAGGCTTAGCCTGCTTTGTGGCCGGTTGTGACTGTACCGGTCGCCTATCTCTCCCCTAATGCTCTCCCTCCTCCTTGGTCTGAATCTCTAACTCAATCTCCCTCCTCCTGGCATTGTTCTGCAACTCAGCCAATGTCCGATAAGACGAGTTTGCCACGAACTCTCGAATGTCTCTCCTCAGGATGCTCAAATACCAACTCACACGTGCCTAGTCAGTAGAAACGTACTTAGGGCAGAATAGCACCCTCTCATGAAACATCCTCATAATCTCTGTCTTCTGCTTGAGAGACATAAAATCTTGTGCCAAATGTTCCCTCTCCACCTGGGGAACATACTCATATCGGAACAACTTGGTGAACCTCTCCCACGTCATGACAACATGATCTGCAGGGGTAAAATCAGTCGTCACAAACTTCCACCAATCCTTCTATCCTAAGCGAAGCTGGTTTAGCGCAAACCGGACTCTCAGATGCTCTGGACATGAACACATATAAAAACACCCCTCAATGTCGGAGATCCATCTCATGGCAGCAATCGGATCTTGCGTCGCATCAAACTCTGGTGGCTTCGTGTTGCTGAACTCACGAAACAACAATGATTCACCTCCCTGTGGTCTGGTTGCAACTATGGTTGCGCTGGCTGCAGCAACAACAACTTCTGTAATAGCAGCGTATCGCTCATCGAATATCTCAATCAACGTGGTCTTAATAGACCCAAACATCTCTGGTATGGCCTATCGGATAGCTGCGACCTCCTCCTCATTAATGATCCTGCGGATCACCTCGTCATTGGTACCAATGTGCACGAGTTGTTGTGGGTAATCACCATAGTGTCTCTAAAACCCAAACACAAAATCATCAGAGACTAGCTCAATACACATAGTCACTCGATTACCCACCCGTACACGCTCCTCAGCATCCTAAGATTCTTACTTGGGCCGTATACAAGTCTGGTGTTTTCAGCAGTACGGGCCTAATACTACCTTCCACACCAACCTGTAGTCGTCTCAAATCCTCCTCCTAGGATCCTAATTCACAATACTCTATCCCTCACGGATCTCAACTGCCCTCTCGGTAGATTCCTCAATGCTTATCTAGATATCTCTCCTAGATTACTCAAAACTCTCTCTAAAGATCCTGCTATGTTTCTCCGTACTCAGTACACATATAGAGAAAATAGCAGATAAAATCAATTAATAACATACCGTAGCCTAAGGTATCATGAATCATGCAACTCTAGCTCTAATTTCTGAAGTACCTAGCTTATTCTCTAGCATATAGCTCTAATATCTCGTAAAGATCTCATAATATAAACAAATAATGATATTTTAGGAAATCACCGTTCTTCCTCTGGTTAATTATACACACTGCTCCATCTCGTTTTCTCTTTAAAACTCTTACTAGTTTTAGAAAAATCATTTCTCTTTATAAAATTTTCCAAATTCGTTAGTTTGAGTCGAGAACTACCGGAGAGTACATTTGTAAGGTCCAAATAAGGATCTTTACCAGCAATCAAACAACAAACAATAACAGAATAAGAACAAGATGATAAGAAACCGAGCTTGCACACGTTTATATTCAATAAATCGCCAGGTACAACTCGGCATACAGTCGTGAACTGCTAGGCATCAACAACAACAAAAGACCTACTTCTCCACTATTTATACTAGATTGGACCGCGACCTGAGTTTGCGACTATAAACAGAGTTTACAGTCGTAAACGTGTTTACGGCCGTAAACCCTGTTTACGGTCGTGAACACACAAAAAAGCCAAAATGCGATAAACAGCTCATGCCAAACAAAATACACTGAAATCCTAGACCAAACCATTAACTGGACTCTTCAACATCTGAATCCCTCAAACCTAGGCTTTGATACCAACTTGTAACACTCTAAATTTTCAAACAAAATTTTCATTTTTAAATCACATAATCAGTATCACATTTTCTCAAAATCACAATGTATCAAATGTCAAAAGACGATTGAACACAACAACTGGTAATATGCCAGAACACTCGACATAGTCTCAAACATGTGTGTACAATCAATTCGGTGCCATCCCGCGCTACTGAGAAGTACTTAAAACACATAACACATGACACGGTAAGTACGAAGCTTAGTGAGTTCCCCAAAATACCACATACACAAATACATAAGCCTCTCATGGCTATAACTCGGTATGGACCCTCCGGTCTCAAGCATCTCGGTGAGGACCCTCTGGTCTCAAGGCTCGGTATGGACCCTCCGGTCTTACAGCTCGGGTTGGACCCTCCAGTCCTATATCTCAGTGGAGCCCCTTCAGTCTCACAACTCGGGTTGGACCCTCCGGTCTTAACTCAATAAAGTACAGAATAATATAGCATATATCACAAAGACAAAATGCATAATACCACATAACTCGGTATAAGCACATAGGACCCTTCGGTTGATAACTAAAATTAGACCCTTCAGTCACATAGTATTACCGCTCAGGTAAGTATAGTAAAAAGACTCACTTCGGAAGTAAACAAGTAGATCTAGCACCCCACGAGCAGTCTAGACTCTGCCTACATAATATAATTATCTCTAATAAGCAAATTGTAGTAACCACTTGAGATGCTAAACTAACTCCTCCACTAAATCTCAAAAAGGATGAAAAGACCATTTTACCCCTCCATGCTTTCTAAAGTCCTCAGTTGACCGAAAGCCTAAAAGTCAATGAAAGTCAACGCTCAACTCAACAGTCCATGTTGACTAAACTCGTCGATTGCATTTATGCAACTCGTCGAATTCCCTCGTTTTCTCAGAAGCATTGGGAAAATCCAACTCAACTTGTCGAGTTCTCTCATCAACTCGCCGAGTTTTAGTGCATTCAGTCTATCGGGGCCAAACCCTAGCTAACTCGTCGAATGGTCCCACTGGCTTTAGAAAACTATTTTCCCATTATTCAGCTCATCGCTCTTGTTGTTAGTAGAAACACACCTAATCACCCCGAAAAAATTAGTTTCACTATGTTGACCCACTACAAAGTCTTCATATTGGGTGACCTAAAGAAGACCAAATCTTGTACGTGTGGATCAATTAAAAACACGAACAAACTTATATATTCTTCCTGAAGCTCGAGTTAGGGGACTTGATCATCCTTCAATGCAAAAAAACTGTTTTTGTATGAATCAATTGAAAACATGGACAAGTTGGACCAAAGAGGAGCCGGGTAGGAGGTTTGATGATTGCCTTAATTCTATGGTAACTAATTACTTTCGAATGTTTCCTTTGACATATAGAAATCCAAAGTACATATAAAAGAAAGAATCGGGATGACATTAACGTTCTACACATCAAAATGACAACAAAATGCAAAGGTTAGAATGGGCCAAAATGAAACTAATTATCTACATCGCATATGTGCGGGCTTTCTAAACCATAGGGATCGTACATAAAATATTATTCTAAAATAATTGATGTACCAAGTTTAGTTGTGGAAAAATAAAAATAATTTTTTCACTTTTTATAAATGATAATAATAAAGTAGAGTAACTAAAATAAAAATGTTAAACAAGTCTACTAACTAAATTAAACAAAGTGTAATGCTTAAAATTAAACACTTACGAAAGTTCAATCGCTAACACCTTCATAAAGTTGTAAGCCTAGTATCACCAATGACCAAAATCCCTATTCTAATAAATAAATATGTTTATTCTCCTATTGACAAGTGATATACTATTAGAACTCCTTATTAATGTTATATGTCACCTATCATACCACTTGTCAACCTATTAATTATCAATTTTTAATTCCAAATTTTGAATTTTCTACTCTAATTACATTAAATTAATAATTGATTCTTCATTTGTAATTTCAAATTTAAAATTTTTTCATTCTAATTATATTAAATTAATAACATTGAATTTAAAAAAATAAAAAGAAATTAATACAGATTATAAGGTGATATAACTTCACGTATTTATTTAAATTAACGATTATAATTTTATATAACTGAAAATATCTCTTAAGTAATAATTTATTTAAAATAATTTATTAATAATTTTGATTTTTTAATATGAAAGTTTAATTAATTTATAAGCGTGGTTCTCACGGGTTATAAACTAGTAAAAAATAAACAAATTCATCGATCAATTATAACTTACATAAAATATAACGTCTCAAATAAAATACTAAGAGGATGTTTGGGATTGCTTTTAGAATGATTTTTAACTTTTAACTTTTTCAAAAAATTAAAAAGTTGTTTGGATAATAGAAAATTTCTTTTTAAAATGATTTTTTATATAAAAATCTTTTTGGTAATCCAAACAATAAAATATAATTGTTTTTTTAGCCAACCCAAACACATTTTAAAAAATAATTGTCTTTTTAGCAAACCCAAACACTTTTTAAAAAATCATTCTACAAAGAATCTAAAAAGGATTTTTTGATGTTTAAAAGCAACCCAAACACCCCCAAGAAAATACAATAACTAAAAATAACAAAAACCCCAAAAATTACTTTTACATATTTACGCAAATAATTTACTCATCCATCGCTATTAATAATATCATCGATTGATTACTCATCTATAGCTATCATATCATAGATTGATAATTATTTTTTATTTTTTTAAACGTCAAGTGATAATTAATTAATCATATGTTTAAACAAAAAGAAACTTTAGAAAATTTAATAGTCAACAATATTATATATTTTATAACAATAAGTTAATAGATTATTAATTTATCCATCGAGGAAGTTTCACACCTCAACAACATATATACAAACAACATCACTACACCTCAAAATACCCAAACATTACCTATGTTTACCATGGCATCTGCTTCTTCTCCAACATCTTTCACCGATCTCCACCCACACATCATCCAGACCCAAATCCTACCAAGACTCGACGGTCAATCTCTCTCCTCCGCCGCATCCACCTCATCTTATCTACGATCCCTCTGCGCCGATGAGATTCTCTGGTCTGATATCTGCAACTCCATTTGGCCGTCAATAACCCACCCACGTATTGACCACCTCATCTACACCTTCCCCGCCGGTTACCGCTCGTTCTTCCAAGACTCTTTTCTGCCTCCAATCACCGAACTCAAACGCCCTCTCCGCCACCATCGCTGCTCTAGCTCCCAACCAGGATCGACCTTACGTCATCATCCTTTGCCATCTGAACTTATTTCAGCCGTCGATATACGCTACGATGACGACATGATTTACTCCAGAGTCGAATTCACTGACACCACAACCGATTTCCGGTCATCGGCGTTAAAGATTGTACTGGAGGACGATCCGGGCGTCACCGGGATGCATCGATCTATTGACTTGAAAGTCGAGGAGCTCGTACACGCTGACGACGCAGCAATATCACACCTAAAAGAATCTTTAACGTTAAACTGGATCCTAATAGACCCGACCCGGAAACGAGCAGTAAACCTATCCAGTATCAAACCGGTTCTTGCATGGATAACGACGGACATTCATATCAGATACGCTGTCGTTTTGCCAGGGTTTGACTTGAATGAGTTGGTGGAATGTCGAATAGAGGTGACGTTAGCCGTGGGTAAAGGAGATGTGTCTTTGAACGTGCGGGAGGTGACACTCCATGTACAAGACGTGGGTTGTAATTATGTCACTGGGAAGGAGTTTTTGGTAATTACAAGAAGGGCATTTTTGGGAATAAATGATTATAGAGAGGAAGCGGGGGTTGGGGTTGGGGTTGACTTCTACCAAAATGACTTGGTAAAAAAGGAAGAAATGATGAAGAGCTATTTGGACTATAATTATATTATGGCTACCTTTTTATTGTGCCTTTGTTTTTTTGGTATTTTATTATAACATAGTATTTATGTATATTTGTCTAGTGTGATATGATTTAGTATAGGGTTTTATAAAGGTATTATTGATCAAATATTTAATATAAGTTTTATAGAAAACAACATAATTAAAACAGGCAATGGAATAACGATTTTTATGGGTCATAAAGTAAGCGAGAATAGAACATCTGCTTGCATAAACATATTTAAAAATTTACAGATATCAATAAAGTGGGGCTGTTCAAGTGGAATTAAAATCGTGTACTTGATGTTTGAAACTATAACCTATATCCGAACTACAATTCGGGTATTCAGGTTATGAGTTAGGTTGGGTACGTATTTATAAATATTATATAGATGTTAGATCAAATATAAAATTTTGTTGTTTATTTATAACATATATAAAATTCCATTTAAAAAAATTGATATTGGCATGGTGAAAGATGGTGCATTTCAAATGCGTGATGAAAACCCTATGTAGTGTCAGGTACATTTACCTTGAACTCAGTTTCAATACATGTTTTATTTGATTAGGGTGCAATGTTTTCCTTTGTATCTTCATTGCTTGCTACCTAACTAACTATTGTTCTAACCCCGCTGGATGAAATTATTTTTGTTGTATTAGCCTACGGAAATCGTCACTACAAGAGTAATGGACATTAGTGGCGACGCTTTTACCGACAACAGACACATTTAGCGGCGACACATAACTTTCGCGTTATGTGTCGCCGCTAAAGATGGTTGTCGCTGCTAAAAGTGTCGCCGCTAATGCCTATGGACTCTGATCCGCGTCGAAATATGAGGTGAAACCTTAGCCGTTGATTTTGTCCCTAATCCAAGGACTGAAAATCGATAACGTACAAATCAATAGCGGCGACAGTATCGCAACTAATACTCGAAAATTTTGACCGCCAAAGTTTCCCCTCAAAGTTGTCACTGATAATACTAAAAAATTTTGACCATCAAAATTCGCCACTAATTCCATTCGTAGATATAACCCCATTCAGCTCCTTCTTTCCTCTTGTATGAACTCATTTCTCAGCTCCTTCTTCCCTCTTCTATGAACTCATTTCTCTTTGTATGTAGAATGTGTATTTTATATATGTTTGTGAATTTATATGTATATTATGTATGTATTTGTCTATTAGTATGCATATATATACATATATACATATATACATATATATATATATATATATATATATATATATATATATATATATATATATATATATATGTGTGTGTGTGTATATACATATATGTGTTTTTATGTGTATTATGTATGTATTTGTGTATTAGTATGTGTATCATGTATGTATATGTGTTTTTGTATGTATATGTATATGTTTTTCTATGTGTATTATGTATGTATGGATGCGTTTTTGGTTATATGTTTTATAAAAATTTTATATTTTTATAATTTTATAACGTTTCTTTCGTATACGGAAGAATGTTTTAAAAAAATAAATAAAAAAATGAGAAAACTACAATTAGCGGCGACACTTTTAGTGCCGGCGGAAAGTATTAGTGGCGATAAGGTATTAGCGGCGACAATCACCTTTAATGGCGACAAATGAGATATTAGCGACGAACCGGCGACACTTTTGTATATGGAAGAATGTTTCTTTTGTATATATTCACTTTTCATATATATATATATATATATATATATATATATATATATATATATATATATATATATATATATATATATATATATATATATATATATATATGATTTTAGCCAAACATAAGCTTAAAAGCGCTTATAAAACATTTAAAAGAGTTTATTCATATTTAAAAGCATCTCGGTGACTTAATATCATTTTGGAAATATTTAGAAACCATTTAACCGTAACACAATATTCACGTTCTTCGTGTTCTTCGCGTTCTTGGTGAAAACGTCGTTGTCTCATGTTTACATCTTTCTGGTCAAAGATATACTGAATACTTTTATGATTCGTGAATATTGTGCATTTTGTGCCATACAAGTAATGTCTCCAGATCTTCAGAGCAAATATTACTGCTGGCAGTTCAAGGTCGAGAGTTGTATAGTTGACCTCATGTACCGTAAGATGTCTTGAGGCATAGGATATCACCTTTCCTCGCTGCATAAGACACATCTTAGCCCTTGGTTAGACGCATCGCAGTATACTACGAAGTCTACTGTCCCTTCAAGTAGAGACAAAATAGGTACGCTGCACATGGATCACTTTGGTGTTGGAATGCTGTTTCTTTTTTCTCTCCTTAGCTAAAAGTTACACCATTTTATGTCAGGGTGGTAAGTGGCTTAGCAACTCGAGAGAAATTCTGAATGAATCTACAATAGTATCCAGCAAGGCCTAAGAATTGGCGGATTTCTGTAGGTGTTTTAGGTGCTGACCAGTTCTCAATTGCCTTTATTTTGGAAGGGCCCACGTGAATTCCCTCTTCACTGATCACGTTACCTAAGAAACCTACTATCCTAATCCAAAATTCACATTTTGAGAACTTTGCATATAGTTTCTCTGCTCTCAATGCTTGCAAGACTTTTCGAAGATGTTGGTCATGCTCCTCCTCACTTCATGAGTAGATAAGGATATCATCTATGAAGACAATAACGAATTTATCCTAGTATGGACGGCATACCCTGTTCATCAAGTCCATGAACACTATGGGCGCATTGATTAATCCAAAAGACATTACTACAAACTCGTATTGACCATAAATAGTTCGAAAGGCTATTTTGGGAATACCCTCCTCAAGAACTTGTAGCTGGTGATACCTTGATCTCAAATCAATCTTTGAAAAGAAACTTGCACCTTGTAGTTGGTCGAACGGATCATCAATACGGGGTAAAGGGTATCAGTTCTTGATGGTCAGTTTGTTTAGCTCGCGATAGTCTATGCACATACGGAAAGATCCATCCTTCTTCTTCACGAATAAAACTGGTGCTCCCCAAGGTGAGAAGCTTGGTATAATAAATCCTTTGTTATGAAGTTCGTTCAGCTGGCTTGATAGTTCCTGCATTTCTGTTGGTCAAGTCGATAAGGTGAGCTACGGGGGTAGCTCCAGAGATTAAGTCGATTCTAAATTCGACTTGTCTTTCAGGTGGGAGTCCTGGAAGATCATCGAAGAAAATGTCGGGGAAATTACAGACTTCGGGAATGTTCTCCAAGTCATTCATTTCTTGTTTTTTGTCTACCACGAGAGCTAGAAAAGCACATTACTCCTTGCGAATATAATTTTATGCCTTGTTACAGGAAATGATTTGTAGGTTCGCGCCAAATTTATAGCCGTAAATAATAAGAGTTTTGTTACTAGGTAGGTTAAGGAGAATAGCTTTCACGTAACATGTAACACTGTTAAATTTCGAACAATTTTTCGTTTAATTTCAATAAAACATTTCATTTCTAAATCACCCCGAAATCATATATCCAATATTTTCATTAAAAATAACACATAATCCAAAATCCATATCCCAAGATCTCAAAAAGAAACATGTCATCTGCAAGTGTGTATTGATCATGCCGGTGCCTTCCTGTGATCATCACTGGTACCTAAAACACATAACACACAAACGATAAGCATAAATGCTTAGTGAGTTCCCCAAAATACCACATACAACACATACACCTTTCTAGGCCACAACTCTATACAATCTTCCAATCCAAGTGTCTTAGGGGATTTCCATTCCATAACTCTGTTGACCTTCCGGCCCATACTCGGTTGACCTTCCGATCCATATCATCATACTCATATCATAACATATCACATATATAACATGCATCACATAAACATCATACACATAAGACCTTCCGTCATACCTAGTTACCCCATCGGGTATGACATAGTGAGAAGACTCACCTCGCTGATGTCAGATAATCACTCGAGCTCGATTCCCCAATGTATCGCTTCCTATATCATTAGTACATCTCTAATTAATACCATCCTGACTTAGTTTGACTAATTCTATTAAGTCAACTCTAGTCAACCATGGTCAACGGTCAACCTTTGACCCGACTCGTCGAGTCTTGCATAGACTCGTTGAGTCCATACGTGTACTCGAGTCCTTTGAATCTGCGACAATCCTATATTTTTCCAAATCAATGTAACACTCAAAAATCAAATACAACGAACTATTTGGAATCAACGAAATTAACTTCAAAAATAAAGTGTTCAAAAATCTAAATTTGGGATGCATCAAATGTTAGATATCGTGCCAAGGTTTCCAAAAACATAAAGATCATTGAAAACCGAGTTATAATGAAAAGATTATGACCACTCAAATATTCACGACACACCCAGTAAAACATTATTAAACGTAAAAAGTGAAATTCCAATAAAATGCATTTTAGCCTTAGGTATCTAAACAAAAGTTGTAGATTACGTTAATCCGTGAACGTGCATAAAAAGATCGTTCAAACTGGACCTTGTATGAAGAAGTTACGGATTTTCTAAGTTTCGTAAGAGCAGTAGAGAGCTAAAAACTTGAATTAAAGATCGAACGATTTTTAGCTAAGGCAACCTAAACGAGAATTGAAGGTCTCCACAACAGGAGTACGATGGTAAAAAAGATAGACGAAAACAAACGTCGGATAAAGAAGTTATGGATTTTTAACGGACTTTAGCAGTCCCGGCCTACTAAAAACATACTATTAAAAATAAAGTCAAAACTAGTCGACAGAGTCTAAATGAAAGTTGTAGAGCATAGTCTCACCTAGGCGTGGATATAAAGAACGCAAAAAACGGATGTCGTACGTGAAAGTTACGGAATTTAGAAGTTTGAAATACGAATTATGTCGAGCGTAAATTAAGAGTACACCCAGCGTACTCAGATGCAGGGTCGCGTCCCATCGTCTAGCAGACTAGCTAGGCTCGAGTCGTAAGCGTTGACAACTCCGGAGTACACCCAACATACCCCTAGAGTACGCCCAGTGTACGAGGTATTTTTGCACTATAAATAGAATGCAAAAGCCCCGAGTTTTAGCACACAAATCTCAACTCCACTTTCACTCTTACACTCTCCTAAGCTGCAGAGACTATCCTGACACCCTCGGTCCCATACCCGATCCCCGACGTAA